AATCCTAAGATTTATATGGAAGCACAAAAAACCTTGGACAACCAAAGCAACCCTGAGCACTAAGAGCAATGCTGGGGGAATTACTATACTAGACTTTAAACTATATTATAGAGCTATAGTCATAAAAACAACATGGTACTGGCACAAAAATAAACCCATAGTTCACTGGAACAAAATTGAAGACCCACATATGATTACATGCAATTTTAGCCCCTCGATACTTGACAAAGAGGCCAAGAACATTCACTGGAGGAAAGAAAACATCCTCAACAAATGGTGCTGGTAAAATTGGATCTCCACCTGCAGAAAAATGAAACTAAACCCCCATCTTTCTCTTTGCACAAAAGTCAACTCTAAATGGATCAAAGACCTCAATGTGAAGCCTGAAACTCGGAAACTGTTAGTAGAAAACATTGGCAATAACCTACAAGATATAGGTACAGGAAAGGATTTTCTAAATCGGATATCAATTGCTCAGGAATCCAAGGTCAAGAATCAACAAATGGGACCTCATTAAACTAAAAGTCTTCTGTACATTCAAAGAGGCAACCAAGGAAGTGAAGAGAAAACCCAGAGATTGGGAGAAAATCTTCACACATCTGACAGAGGTTTAACATCCAGAATATATAAAGAACTCAAAAAACAAAGAATCAAGAAAGCAAATAACCCAATTAAAAGGATCTGATCAGAGAGTTCCCAAAAGGGTAAATAAAGATGGCTAAGAAACATCTTAAAAGGTGTTTAACATCATTTTTAATTAATGAAATCCAAATTAAAACCACTTTAAGATTTCATCTTACCCCAGTCAGACTGGCTAAGATCAAGACAACAAATGATACCAAGTGTTGTAGAGGATGTGGGGAAAGGGAAACCCTCATCCACTGCTTGTGGGATTATAAACTTGTTCAAACCCTATGGAAAGCAGTGTGGAGAACCCTTAAAGGACTAAAAACGAACTTACCATTTGACCCAGAAAAAACACTACTCCTTGGCATATACCCAGAGAACTCATCCTAGTGCAGAGACACTTGAACATCCATGTTTGTGGCTGTTCTTTTTACAATAGCTAAGAGATGGACACAACCTAAGTGTCCCTCAACTGACAAGTGGATAATGAAAATATGATCCATTTATACAATGGAGCTCTACTCAGCAGTAAAGAAAGACAAAATCATGAAATTTGCAGGGAAATGGATGGAACTAGAAACTGTTATACTAAGTGAAGTAACACAGACTCAGAAAAAGAAAAGATGTATGTTCTCCCTCATATGCGGATCCTAGCACCAAATTCTTATAAACAAATATCCTAGTCACCACTCATCAAATAAGCTCATTTTGTAGCAAAGACTAATACCAACTACCAGAATTGGTCACAGACAGACATTGTCTATGAATTGTCCAGGCCTAAGGGACACATCTGCAATGCAACCTCTATACCTAAGGCTCATGGAACATAGAACAAGGACAAAGAAGAGGACACTAATGAATCAGGTTTCAATAATGAAGCTCCCTCATGCAGTAGAGTGTCAGGAACAGAAAAGGTCACAAATGGCCAAAGTGTAGAGATCATGAGTCTGATAAATAATTGTCCTTGGACAGGACCCCTTTATTAAATGTCATCCACCCAATTCGCAGGGACTATCACCGAAGAGGGCATGGAAAGATTGTAAAAGCCAGGGAAGATGTGCATGGCCATATGGAAACAGACTTTTACATACTCCTGGGAACCTGCTCATATGTTTCTAAGGCATAGGTGTCAGCATACATAAATCCCATGCAAACTCGGGCAGACAGAAACGCAGCATAGAACTGGGATAGCAAACAGCAGACCCCAATCTTATCTAAAGGAATGTTGGCAACTGATTGCTGCTAGAAGAACTGATCCTCTTAAAACAAGGGACTCTAGATAGGATGAGTAGATGGACTTGCACTGGGCAACAGCTGGGGGCACTGACAACTCAGTGGACTGTAACAGGGATGACAGAGTATACAGGCTTCAGTGGGCGGGGGCTAAGGTAGAGTGCTGGTGGGGATGGGGGCATAAAGATGGCTAAGATTGTTTGAGATGTTCTGTATGAAATACAAAAAAAGTTTAAAGTTTAAAAATCACATTTTACTTGCATATAAATTTTTACATTCATTGTGTGTATTAAAATCATTTCTATACTGAAGTAAATATTACAACGTAAATTCTATATGAACAGTTGGCACACTGCATTATTTAGGGAGAAATAAGCAAATAACATCCATGTTCAGTACAAGTGCGATTTTTCTCAAATATTTTTTATTCATAGTTGGATGAACCCAATTATGCAAAATCTTTGGATCCTAACCTAAGCATATAAGGGACAACTATATTTTTAAACAGTCTGCTTTACTCAGATCTCTGGTGCCTTTGCCTCCATTGGAAAAAAAAAATCATACTTTCTGGACTGGAGAGATGGCTCAGTGGTTAAGAGCTGCTCTTAGGAGCTGTCCTCTTCCAGAGGACCTGGGTTCAGTTCCCAGTACCAAAATAGCAGCTAAGAACTGTCCATAGCTCTTGTTCCAAGGGATCCAACACCCTCTCCTGGCCTCTGTGGGCTTTATACAACATGGGTGCACCTACATACATACAGGTAAAACACTCATAAATATAAAAGAAAAATAAATTTAAAAAAAAGAAAAAAGAAAAAATTACACGTTATTAGCCAGGCCTTCCCTTATCTTAGCTCCCCTAATTTAAATAAGATATTCCTCTATCGTTCTGTATGAAAACATGCTAAATTTGCCAAGCAGTGTAAAAAATGTTAATCTTTCATTACAATTGGTACCCTGACCTCTTTGTTCAGTGAAAACATATGAAGGATTTTTCTTTTTCTCAGAACAATATTAGTAGATAGAACCAACCTCATAGAGTTGTTTGGAGAATAAAATATGACAGTGAATATGAAGTTCCTAACAAGATCACCATTTTGGGTGTGTACACATTTAAGATCTACAAATTCCAGTTAATAGTCACCACCAATAGAGAGGCGGGGAGATGTAATTATGGCAGGATATGCAAAAACATTCCATTATATCTTAAGTATTTTACTTATTGTTATTTAGTATGTAAATTCATGGGTTTTATGGTGACATTTTCATGCACCATTCACCATTATACTTTGTGCTTAATAGCTTCATCTACTGCCTTCCTCCCACCCCTTCCATATCTTGCTCTGCCTCTTCTTCCCCACCAAGTACAACTTCCTTTTGCTTTCATTTTACAAATATTCCATTATCATATTCTCCTCCTCCCTCTATTTATAGCTTTTCCTTTCCTCTCAAAGTCCTCTACATAATTTTACAGCCTGCATACCCAGATTTGTGGATCCATATATTTAAATCTAATTTTGGTGTATGGGAGAAAGCATGTCATGTATATCTTTCTGAGTCTAGATTACTTTGCTCCACATAATGATCTCCAATTCAATGCATTTTCTTGAATGTCATAGTTTTGCTTTCTAATGGCTGAAAATTTCATTGTGTTCATATGCCATATTTTCTTTTTTCCATTTTTTTCTGCCTCTTCATTTTATAGTTTATTTTCTTTGTTTATATATTGATGGACATGTAGGCTGGTTCTATTTCCTGTTTACTGTGAATAGTGATGCAATAAACATATGTGCTAGTATGTCTGTGGTATACTGACTTGGAATCCTTCAGGAATGGAATAGCTACATCATATAGTAGGCCTGTTTTCAATGTTTTGAGGAACAACAATTCTGATTTCTATAATGAGTCTATCGGTTTACCTTCATATCAGTAGAATATAAAGGTTCTTCTTTGTTGATCATTTTTACGTCTTCCTTTGAAAACAGTCTTTTCAATTAATTAGCCCATTTATTCATTGGATGAGTTTTTTCATTGTTTTCTAATTTTGAGTTCTTTGCATATTCTAGATACTAACTTTGCTTGATGGAGAGTTAGCTAGATTTCCTTCCATTTTTAGGCTATCTCTTTAACTCTCATGATCATTTCCTTTGTATGGAGAAGCACTGTAATTCATAAAATCCCATTTATCAGGACTGGAATTATTTCTTGTGATATTGTAACTCTTTTCAGAAAGTCCTTGCCTTAATATATACCTTGAAATGTTTCACATTTTCTTCTTCAGAATTTAAATCTTTTTTTCTTAAGCAGGATTTCAAGTTCAAGCTCTGAGACTCTACCAGGTGAATTAACTAGTTACTTAATCAACAGTAGGTAGTGTTTATTCTTTATAGGTTTCAAAATATTTGAAGTACTCTTCAATAAATACATATTTAAAGTGATAAACATGATTTCTGTATGTAGTTACTTAATAAATCATAGGAATTAGTATTGTATAGTGATCATAATATCAAAGCAGTGACTCATAGTTCATCTAGGAGGCACTTGGGCTTGGTTTGAATCCTTATTCTACTAATTACAAGCCCTATGACCACGTACCAGTTAGTAACCACCTTCACAAGAAGGTATTCTTTCAATTTTTCCTCTTTCGTGCCATCCAAAGTTGTATCATGGAGTATAGTAAATGCTCAAAATCATCTTAGTTATCATTAACATGAAATGTATTCTCTTTCAATCCATGCACAAGAATGAAAACAAGAAGAACATATGAAAGTGGAGAATAAGTCTTTTATTTTCTGCTCCATCCCTTTATATTTATCTTCAAGTGGATGAGGAAAGTAGCACATACCAAAAATTTGCCACCTTGCCTGGCTCCAAGTACTTTAAAACCCTCTATAACTTCCCTACACTGGTCAAAAGGACCTGTGTAAAAATGTATAGATAATGAGAAAATTAGTATTTTACAGTCAACCCTTGTTAGTATAAAACACCAGATAAAGTCCAGCCAAACCAACCACATTCAACAAGATAACAGCATGACTATTTCAGGCAGGTGCTACTAATCAACAGAAGGCCCTCCAAGATGTATACTTTTAAAAACAGTTTTCCCAAAAGCCATCACTGCTATTCTGCACATACCACCTTACCTAACTGAAATTGATTGGAGACATTCCCACATGTTTGCATTACTTCTGGGCTATTCCATCCTAAAGGATATAATGCACAGCCTGAGCTTATCAGCAGTCCTGGAAAAAAAAGCATACACAACAGGTAGAATAATGAAGCAGTTTTTGTGTCACCCCAACATCTTCCCTGGATTAAATTGTGCCTTCTCCACTAGGAACTGACTCTTCCCCCTTTTACTCTAAAAGACTACATTTCTATCCTACCATCACTTCCACAGGATTACTTTTTCATATCAAAGGTAGTTAAGTTAAATAGACAGTGAAGTGGACAACTTATAAAGACAGAAAAGTATTGGAAGTTGAGATAGGATAGTATGGATTTTACAGGCAATTTTTATTTTCTTTCTTTTTGGGACAAGATCTCACTATGAGGCTGGGGCTGACCTATTGGCACTGAATTTATCATCCTCCTGCTCTGGCCTCCCAAGTACTAAGATTGTTGGTGTGCTGTTCCATTCCCAGACAGCCAAACTATTTTACATAATAATTTACAATGCTAATTTAGTTTTTCCAAATTCTTATAAATTTGCTTTACAGTGAATAACAATTTAAAAAAAAACACTATTTCCTAAGACCAACTTTTTCTAAATAGCAAGAGGGCCCCTACTAACTGGAAGTAGGTCATGAATTTTGAAACTTGGAGTCAGCTACTAAGCAGGTCCACAAACTGTGTACATGTTGAGGAGATATTTCCTGGTAAGCAGGGTACTACCCACCCACTTCTTCAAAGTACCATTTCAGGCACAAACCAAGCATCTCCATTCTTTGGCTTCTGTTTCCCCTGTGATAATTAACCTTGACTGTTTACTTCATGGGATTTAAAACTTCCTCAGAAGAGATACATCTGATCATGTCTGTGAAGTCTTTTCCAGGGAAACTTAGATGGGAAGGCCTATGCTGAATACAGAACTCATCATTTCATGGTCTGTGGAACTAGCCTGAATCACTCTGCATCCTGACTGCAGACACAGCATGATCAGGTACCTAACACTCCTGCCACAACAGTGAGGAATATTCCCATTGCCACAGCTTCAAACTAAGCCAAAATAAGTTCTTCCTTAAGTTGCCTTTGTGAGTTATTTCATCACAGAAACAGGAAAAGGAACTAATTATAATCTCTTTCCCTTATCTCCCTTTGGTTTAGGCCATTTGGTCATTAGAGGGAAGCTCTATGGGACCTTAGTTGTAACCTCATTCTTTAAACCAGAGGTATAAATCTGGGTCTGTCACCAGTGCTTTGTGAGAACGCCTGCCACATATTTTATAATCTCTTACCCTAGCAGGCCATTAGCCACAGTGATTTGGAACACACATTGACATCTAACACAAATGTGGCCAAATTCATTGGATAGCCTGGCATAAAAAGACAAGTGGGACCATATACTTCTGAAAATTTTAATTTAGAAAGATAGTGTGGCATAGTTATTCATGATAGTAATACAGGTCCTTTGGGAGCCTGAGACAGAAATATCATATATCAATGTCACCCTGAACTATGTAGCATACATCTCAGGGAGATTCCACATCAAAATAAAAAGAAAATAAAAACAGGAAAGAAGAAAACACAGAGATTCTGAGATAACTACCATATAATGCAGATATTGTAAAAAAAAAAAAAACTATGACAAAGAGATAAAATCAAGTCTCTATGAAGCTGAAGCCACATTTTATGATCTAAATTTGTAAGTGGCCATTATTTTTCAATAAATTAAGAGATATGATTGGTAGAGCTAGTGGCTAGTATGAAAAAGTGGCATGAACCAGATATATCATAAGACAAACACCTTACTGCCTATTAAAAGACATTTAATCTACCTATTAAATTATTTAACCTGCCTATTAAAAGACAGAAAACAACAATCAGTTCTTGATAGGTATACAGTCCCATTTTCCTAATCTTCTGATCCGCCCTCTTTCCACTAAAAGAACTCAAGCCAGTCTCCACTATTTGAAAACAAAACAGCTTTACTTTAGGAATATTATACTTCCTCACCCCACCAAAGGACATGGAAGGATTCCTACCATAAATGTGGCTACAGGGAGCCACATGTAAAACACCACACATGTAAAACACCACAGGAAGTAACTGACTGATAAGTGGTGAATGAATGGCATACTTGTAGGTTCCAAAGTTCTGGAGTCAACTTCACAGTGAAAAAAGGCTATCCTAATGAGATTATGTTTTTTCACCTCTCTTTCTTCAATTAGAGAGATCCTATAGACATCCTAAGAAGCTTATAAAGCCCACTTTGAGTAAAAAATATCTCAAAATGAGGATCTAAGCTTGTCTGCCACATGACAATCAGGTTTCCACAGTTTTCAGTGTAGCCATAGGAGACAGGAAGGATTCTTAACAAATAGACAAAGGGTTTAGGAAGTGACTTACTGAGTGAGAAAAGCTGTAGAAACTAAAGAAAGACCCACTTAAAGCTTGAATCTTCCTTCATTGGAAAGCTTGTTAGAAAGCATTCTTACCTGTCTTGTAGCCTTCCAGAAATTATATTGGTCACTCAGAGACATTTCTAGACATTTGAATTTGTCCAGTGGCAATAGAAAAATATCTTTTCTTTTCACGTGAGATAAACTGAAATGCTATGAGGTCATATCCCAGAATACACACAATAACTTAAGACAATAGTGGAAATGAAATTAAGCTCTTCATTATTGCTGTTGGTAGAGTGAATAAACACTGAGCAGCTGGGTGTGATGCTTCGTTCCTGTAATCTTAACATTTTGGAGTCTGAGACAGTAGGATTGCATTGAGTGTAAGCCTAAGTCTAGGCTCCATAGGAAGTTCCAGACCAACCTGGATTACAGTATAAGATACTACCTCAAAGAAACAGAAAGAAAGAAAGAAAGAAAGAAAGAAAGAAAGAAAGAAAGAAAGAAAGAAAGAATGAATGAAAGAGAGAGAGAAAGAAAGGAGGGAAGGAAGGAAGGAAGGAAGGAAGGAAGGAAGAGAGGAAGGAAGGAAGGAAGAAAGGAAGGAAGGAAAGAAAGAAGGAAGGAAGATTGAGTTTTCCCTATCTCTGCAAGGGAATTGTTTTCTAAAGGAAGTTCCTCAAAATGGTTTGGAGATAATTCTAGATATCTGGTAGAGTTGTAGAATCTAACAGAGGAACGGTCACAGGCAAGGTGTTTCTAATGAGGAAAATCATCAATGCTTAGAAAGTCTCTATTATTCTAGAGACCGTTGTTCAGGATTGTCTGCCTTTGGGAAGCTCTTTCAAGAATTAGAAATCTTGCAAGACATCTGGACATATATGAAAACACTATGTCTTGAGAAAAGTTTCTGAACTCAACCTAGACATATATTCAAATTCCATCTCTGTCATCTAGAAGTTATGTGACTTCAGACAAGCTATTTGATCTCCTGTGCCTCAATTACCTCATTTCTTTAAGACAGGGTCTTCCTGTAGTCCCCGATGGCCTGGGTCTCACTGTATACACCAACGTGGCCTAGAACTCACAAAGACCTGCCTATCTGCCTCCTGAGTGCTGGGATTAAAGGCATGTACCACCACGCCCAGCTACCTCAGGTTTTTAAATGGAAAAAATAATATACAGATGTTGCAACAGCCAATGAGAATACACACTTAAAGTACTGGACCAACATTTGTTATTATTAAACAACTGTTATTCCCTGTGGCTCTTTTCCCAGTTTATGACCATATTCCTAGGCTAATTACTTCTTCACTTTGTCTTCATAACAAGCAACTGAAAAGTCAAAAGTTGAAGAGGACTTCATTCAAAAGCTGCCTAATTAAAGTCGTAGTTACCTTGTAAACTTGCAGAGGTAATTAAGAGAGAACAGGAGTGTCTGTGAACCCTGAGCCCTGCTACAATGCATATACCATCATGCTCTGCCCAACCTACTCTCCCCATGCCCATCCCTGATCCTGCCTTTTACATGGTGAGTGTAATAGACTGTGAACATATTCATGTGCTCTTGGTTCCATTACGTTTGATCCCAGCTAGATAAATTGATCCCTGGGGACACTGCATGCTCTCTCTCAAAGCTGTCTGCTAGCTTTGAAAACTTTGATATGCATGTTTCAATTGAAAGTACAAAGAAGTCAGGATACTAATAAACAGCCATTGGATGAAGGCTTCCTTGAACGGGAGGTAGAATGCAGTGATATAAAGGGGAATAATAGAGTATGACAGATTAAATGGTGTAGGTAATGAGAGGGCATGGCAGAAGAGGGAGCACAGTGGAGAGTTAACTAACCATAAAGGTATTTAAAGAAAGCCTTATGTAAACCTACCAATATAGAAGCATCTTAAAGCATATGCATATACATTATAAAAAGAGATTAAAAGGAGTTATGACAAGGGGACATTTCCCCTACTAGACACCATAAGCTAGCAATGTAAAAGCCCAATGCCAAGAACAGACTCCATGTTTTGAAGCTGTTGACCAGCAGTCTTGTAGACCTGTAAACAATACTGACTATTGCCCCTGCACTTAGTTGCCCAACAGAATTTCATGATAATACTCTATTGCTGAAGATACTACATACACAAGCTATAGAACAAACAAGAAGAAATCAAGGTTGTGCTGACTTCAAAGTTTCATCACTATTGATGGGGTCTCATGGTGCTGGAAGGTGCAATGCATGTAACCTGAAGAGAAAACTAATCAGCTGTGATTCCTGTGAATTACAACAACTGGCCTGGCAAGATATGTCTACTAGTGCAGAAGTGGTATGAATATTATGGGAGCATCCAACCACTTTCTAATTTGATTTAAGGTCTACTTCATAGGATGGAGCTCATACCTGACATATGATATCAGGCCTAGGACTCTGAGGTCAGGCAGGTCACAGGCCATAAGAAAGCTTAATACTATTATTGTGCTAAATAGATATAGTATTAAACTGACTCCTAATAAGTTATTCTTACACCCATACATTAATGCATCTCTCAATTCTCAGCTGTGAAGATTCCTTATACAGCAGATGGTGATTAAAACAGAGAACCACAACTACTCAACATGCAAACAATAAGAGGCTGCAGGCTATTTATCCCTGAATAGGACACTTGTATCAAACGTATGC